TGATTAAAATAAAATTGGTAATTACAAAAAAACTAATTTGTCACAAACGTTAAAAACAGACTCACAATCAATCACAAACAATTTACAAATAAAATACACTCACACAAGTTAACACTAGTCAATTGGCGTGTGACACTTGGTTAGTGTTACTTGTCAGAAAAGTTAAAAGTAATTTAATTTAATAATTTCTGTCGGCTACTTTCATATCAAGAGACACGGTAGTGTCTCGCGCCAAGTTCACGCGCAGCGCAAGACTGAACGTGTATCTTTACGCGAGCCCGAAGAGCCCAGAGAGCCGAGATTATCGGAACTCAATAATGCCTGGGCTGATCAAGTTGATAATGGTCTCAATCAATAGCACATACCCAAAATATATAATAAAAGTATGCTTGTTTTTGCTCTACATGCTTTATAAATAAATATATAAAAGTCCAAAGTCGAAATGTCAAAAATATTATCTCAATTTCTAGGATGTACAGTCAACATTTTTTACACTAGATGGCTATAATGATGTTAGTAGTTGGGTTTGTGTTGGTGGCGCTATAGGAAATAGCCGCGCATACCAAATAACCTTACAGATGATGTGTCAAAAGAATAATATTGAATTCGGCCACTCGCACTACATTGCACTGGTGCACACTCAAGGCTGCTTAATGTTCACCAGTTTTTTATTCGTGTTCATCATAGTAGTGTAGTGCAGTGCAGTGCGAGTGATCAAATTCAATATAAATGTATTAAGTAAAATAAGTGTATATGTATATTGGTTATAAGTATTGTGTTTTAATTTTACTATACATTCTGTCAAAAAGCTTTAGTGTATGATCTGTCTAAAATAAATAAAATTAAATATCTCAAAGTTTAATATTTCAATTCTACGTATCCTAAATTAGTTCCAACAATATTTATAATTTCTAGTCAATTTTATACATAAAAAAATATAGCATAAGTCACTTTTTGTGATTATCCTAAATTAGTTCCAATATTTATAATTTCCAGTCAGTTTTATATCCATAGAAAATAGGAAACAAAAATTATAAACATAAACTCGACAAGAAATCTTGTAATACACAAAATTAAAATTGACCAGAAATTATAAATATTGTTGGAAATAATTTAGGATACATAGAACAGAAATATTAAGCTTTGATATTTATTTTATTTATTTTAGACAAATCATACACTAAAGTTTCTAAACAATGGTCTTATAAAACATAGTGATGATTGGTATGATTGTACAAATTAATTTTACAATACATTCTGTCAAAAAAGCACATCATTCGAGACTTTAGTGTATGATTTGTACCAAAATAAATAAAATTAAATATCTCAAAGTTTAATATTTCTGTTCTATGTATTTTAAATTAGTTTCAACAATATTTATAATTTCCAGTCAATTTTATATTTTATATATAAAATTTATTTTATATATAAAAATGTCAGGAATTAGTAATTGTCCGAACACTTTTAAGCTACAACAAGTATATTCTTGTATAAATAAACGTATACAGAAAAACGGTAACTCTAATAGGAACGTAACGGTAGGCGTCTGTGCTGCTTAGAGTGCCAGCAGAGAAGAACATAGATCACAGAAATAGCAGAGGCGAACATTAATGCACTCACTAGTCGCCCAGTAGCGCCACGGTGTATCGACTAGGGATATCGATTAAGAATAGAGATCTTTTCGATCAGACTCGCTTTCTTACAAAAAAAAATATAGCATAAGATACTTTTTGTAGTTATCCTAAACTAGTTCTAATATTTATGATTTCCAGTCAATTTTATGTCCATAGAAAATAAAAACAAAATTATAAACAAACTCGATTATAAACAAACTTGACAAGAAATCTTGTAATACACAAAATAAAATTGACTGAAAATTATAAATATTGTTAGAACTAATTTAGGATACATAGAACAGAAATATTAAACTTTGACATTTAATTTTATTTATTTTAGATAAATCATACTAAAATCTTGAAACGTGTGCTTTCTTGAATGATTAAAATTGACTAGAAATTATAAATATTGTTGGAATTAATTTAGGATACGTAGAAGAAAAATATTAAACTTTGGTATTTAATTTTATTTATTTTAGACAAATCATACAAAATTTCTGAAACGTGTGCTTTTTTGACAGATCTTAAATTAGTTTCAACATTTATAATTTTCAGTCAATTTTATCAAAATCAAAACAAAACAGTATTGTTTTACCTTTCAAAAAATTGTCGTACCTATATATTAAATCAAAAAAAGCTGTCGTATATATATTACAAAAAAAGAAATAATATCTATCAAAAAATTACCTTTTTTAAAAAAAGGTAAAAAAAAGGCGTCAAGTACACGCTTTTGTCACAACTAAAACAAAACCATGAAACCGTGTGAGCTTCGGCGGACGCGGAGTAGCTCGCCGGAATCCAGGTTCGGTCGGTTGGGGGTATGTCAAATAAACCAAATGCTCGTTTATAATAAATGTAACAAAACAGTGTTTATTCAGAAAGATGTAGATATGGTTTGTCTCGAATGATCTGCTTTAATGCTCGTGTATACATGCGAAGCGTGTGCAAGATGAATTCGAAAGAGCATACAAAATAGCCAAATATCGGTGAAATAATTAATAAGTGATAGCGAAATAGTTCTTTAAAGCGGCGTGGAATAAATACAGAGTAGCGTGAAGATAAATGCGAAGTATCGTTAATGGTGAAATAATTATTTGAGCGGCGGTGAAATAATTATTTAAGGCGGCGTGAAATAAATGCGAAGTATACGTGAAAATAAATGCGAAGTATCGGCAATAAAGAAATAATTATTTGAGCGGCGGTAAAAATAATTATTTAAGGCGGCGTAAAAATAAATGCGAAGTATACGTGAAAATAAATGCGAAGT